GGAACATAATTCAATTCAAAGCAAAAAGTGATGCTAAGAGGAAAGACAGAAAAAGCTACACAGTTCTGAAGATTTTGTTGGAGATCAAAGTGAACCCTTGGAGACTGGAAGAATATTGATCCAGCTCATTTAAAGAATATTGTCTTCCTTGAAAAGCAAGATTGTCCCTACAGTAAACACTGTTACCTGTTTATTTTTCAGATTCACAGAGATCCAGGAAATATGTCTTACTACCAGCAGCAGTGCAAGCAGCCCTGCCAGCCACCTCCTGTGTTATGCCCACCTAAGTGCCCTGAACCATGTCCACCTCCAAAGTGTCCTGAGCCGTGTCCACCTCCAAAGTGCCCAGAGCCATGCCTGCCTGTGCAGTGCCCTCCTCAGCCATGCCCACCAGTGCAGTGCCCACCTCAGCCATGCCCACCAGTGCAGTGCCCTCCTCAGCCATGCCAGCAGAAATACCCTCCTGTGCATCCACCCCAACCTTGCCAGCAGAAGTGCCCACCCAAGAACAAGTAACAACAGAATTCAACAGAACCATGACACAACAAGATCCAGTGGCTCTTCCAATCTCTGGAATCCATTCTACTCCATCTTCCCTAACATTCCTCCTGAGATGACAGCTGGGAGAGAAATGCTTAAATCCTAAAGATGATGCCATATTTTTGGAAGAGAAGTAGCAGGATCAAGTCTTCATTCTTACAATGAAACATCACCTGCTTTATCTTTGGAATTGATCTGCAGTCTAGTGTAGGCAGTGATCTCTATCCTATAAACAGTTGTGTCCCTTTTCTGCTTCTTATTAGTTGTCCAACAAACTGTAGGCAGTGATCTCTATCCTATAAACAGTTGTGTCCCTTTTCTGCTTCTTCAATAAAGTACATGTTTCATGGTTGAGCCTCCATTGCTATTGTTTTCATTTTGTGTTTTACACTCTTTTATCAACTGTATCAGATGGATGTTCTTTTTCATTCCTTTTGAAGTCTTAGTCTCATAGAGATTAACGAACAGATTCACAAATGTTTTTGAATTGCTTGCATGTGGTAATCAGTATTGTATATACTGGAGATATGGATAATGCTGACCAAACAGATACTTACTTGTTTTTAAGTAGGAAAAATGAGAGGGATGGATAGATGCTTAGAGGAGAACTGAGAGTGATAAATATGAAATGTACTGTAGAGAATGTTGTTTAAAAAGTTTCTTCCAAAGTGACTTTTTGGGCAGAGACATTAGCGAGCCATGGGTATACCTAGGATGGATATTTTTCCAATGGGAGAAAAGCACAAGTTCCAAAGCATATTCAGACGTGTGCTCTTCCTGGGTATACCTAGGATGGATATTTTTCCAATGGGAGAAAAGCACAAGTTCCAAAGCATAGAAAAATAACAGAAAAACAAGAACAATACAGCAACCAAAAATGTAGCAATAAGGTTGAGATTGTCTCAGACGTGTGCTCTTCCGGAACAATACAGCAACCAAAAATGTAGCAATAAGGTTGAGATTGTCATCAAATGAGGTCAGAGTGGTTGGGTATGTAGTACATAATAGTGATTTTGGTATTCTTCAAGGTTTGACAGCTATATTATGCTGATGTTCAAGGGTCTAAGATTTTATATTATTATAATACTCAACTATCATATTTATTTTCTTTTGGGTAACATTTTGACTAAAAGTACAAAAGTTTGTTCAAAGGTATTTCCAAAAGAGATGAAAACAATTAAAGAATAAATGAAAACTTTTACACAATTAAAGTTTGTTCTGAAATATGACCAATTGAAAAGTAGGTCTATTGGTTTTTCTATGTTAAAGTGAAATGTAATCCATTAACTCTCCTAAAGTCATAGGTAACAAAATTACATAGGCAATTTTGTACTTGCTGTGTCCAAACTCTAAAAAGAATGTGGGAAGGTAGACTTTACACAAGACTGCACAGAATGACCCCCAAGTAATTGTCTTTAATGATAAGCTCTTGAAAAGGACAACACCAAACCTTTCAATCAGTAGATGAGCATATTATCCATTTTGACTACCGTGGGATACATATTGCTCTTAGAAGTGAGTGGCTCATGGTACAACCACTTTGGAAAATAGTTTGGAAGTATCTATAAGTTTATAGATGAAGAAGGTCCTCTTAATTGTAAATATATTTAGGTATAAAATTTAAAATAACCCACCAACCTCACTGCCATCAAGTCAATGCCAACTCATAGCGACCCCTCCTTGGGTTTCTGAGGCAGTAAATCTTTATGGAAGTAGATTGTCCCATCTTCCTTTAGCATAGCAGCTGGTGAGTTTGAACCTCCAACCTTCTGGTTAGCAGTCAAATGCCGTAGGCACAGGGCCACCTGTTGTTTTTATGTGCTGTTGAGTTGGACCCGACTCATAGTGACCTCTCCTTGAGTTTCCGAGGCAGTATCACTATGGAAGTAGATTGCCCCATCTTCCTTCCAAGGAGTGGCTGGTGGATTTGAACCGCCAGCCTTCTGGTTAGCAGTCATGTGCCTTAGGCACTACGCTACCAGAGTGCCACCTAGTGACTATAAAATATGCCCTAATGTTAATATTATTTTCTCTCCCTGAATTCTAGTATGCAACAAACCAGAGAAAATCCATGTCAAGAATTTTTCAAGTATGAACTCTTACGGGAGAAAAAAGGCACTTCTAAAATTTGCCACATAGATATGGTTGGAGATCGTACAGTGAATTTAGAGAGGCACCTGAAACATCACCATATGGATGAATACAATATAGTGCAAAGGAAGAAGACAAAGAAAACTGAAAAAAGTGTCAGAAATGTTCTGAATAAGCTGCAAAAAAAAAAAAAAAAGTCAGACTACTTTGCCATTCCAGAATGCCTTAAGATGAAATTAAATAAACAAACAATTGTTGATGCATGTATTAAATTAGTTACTGTTAGCAGTTGCTGTTTGAGTTAACTGTATGTTGACAATTATGTAAAATTTTCAATCTAATTATTGCTTCAATTGGTCAAAAATTTTCAATCAACTCAGAGAATATTAGGGAAATAATACTTCTCTTGTCTTTAAAACTTAGCTCTCCAAAATTAGTAGTAATCTAGAAATAACTAATATTCTCCTAGAAAATGGATGTTGCCAGTAGATTGAATCAGTCAATTCTAGGAATTAATGCTCAGTTCCCATAAGTTTTTAAGATACATCTGTTGACACTGGGAAAGAAAGAACTAAAAGACACACAGATCTGTACATATAAAACACTGTGTATCAAATTATAAAGAATTACATTGATTAACAATAGATTTATTCTATAACTATAGATAATGGCTCTAATGTGATTAAATTTGTGGATTTTCTCAGAAATGATAGTGAAATCGAGTGGCAAATATCAGGGTAAAATGACAGTTTTGAAGCCTGACTTAGTGCACCCTGATTTTTAGACATTAACTACCACAGAGTGCGATGAAAGTGACAAGGTTCATAACAAAAGATTAACTAGTATTAAGTGTGCTGCACACACACTCCAACTATTTATTAAAGGTGCAATGAAGGATGCTGAACTGGAAGAATTTTTTGGAAAATGTTGGAAACTGAATCAAATACTTCATATTCCAGCATTGTCTATCTATTTTTTTGGAAAATAATTTAAGGAGATCTGTACTGGATTGCCCAAGAAGATGGAACAATGTATACCCTGTGGTATGAATGTTACTAGGATGAAAAATATTGGCAATGTATTAGCTGAGAATAATATGAAATATTACTTTTCTAATGACAAATGGTCATATGTCAAATTAATTTTGGAAACTTTAAAACCTTTAAAGAAAGTTATGGCAAGATTGTAAAGTGAGCAATTAACCATGAGTGATGTTTTTTGTATGTGGATGGAAAATAAGCTAAAATAAAGAACTCATAATAATACATTTGGAAACACTTAGAAAAATTTAATGTCGGGGACAAAACAATCATTGAAAACGATAGCATAAAAGGAGCATTTTATCTAGATCCTTGTTATCAAATTCTAATTTGTTCTGAATTTAAGGTGAAGGTCATTACATTTAAAAAAGCATTTGGGAAATGATAGAAAATTTGAAAAGGGGCACTACTGAAAGTGTAAAAAAGAAAAGCAATTCAGAAAATATTCCTGTTTCAAATGATGATGTTGATGAGATGGATTATTTCTCAAAATGAATGGAAAAACAGTTAAATTGAGATCATATGACTGTACTGTGAATATGACTATATTAACATAATTTTATCATGTACAAAGAGTTGAGAAAAAAAGTATTCTTAAATTTAGGGAAGAAACCACTCACAATATCTCTAGTTATATGAAATTGCTAGGGTAGTTTTGGGTGCACCAGCTACTCAAGTCAATGTTGGGAGAGCTTTAGCTTAATGAAAAAAAATTACAAGGTATTCTTTTAGTTAGGTGTAATTATGGCTTATTGCAGGGATGTTTTCTTAATGAAACTGTATAATTGTGCATTAATTAACTCTATATGTGTAACAAAGTGTTTATTTTATGTAATGGTAAGACAATTCTCCAGCGTAGAACTGGGTGAATATTAAAGTATTAAATATATTATTGCATTTTGCCTTTAAGTATTGTTATATTAGGTCTGATAGTATACTTTGTATTTCTAGTACATCATGAATAAACTCTTATTAATTCTAGGTGACTATTAAGTAGTGAAATGTTGCCTACATCAAAATTAAATTTGTTTTCAGTGTATTTTATAGTACTGGGATTTTCTTACCAAATCTTTAATGTTTACACAGCCTATTAGGAGTGTTTTCATTTACTGCAATAATATTTTTAAAGATATTCAGTGCTACAGTGAATTCTAGTATATTTAAAAATAATAGAATTTTTAAAAATTGCATCATGCTTTTCTCTCTATTGTTATGTTTTGAGACAGTGATTAGAATTGCACATCATTGTCACTTTTGATTTAATTATTAATGAATATGTAGAAAGAAATAGTTCAATATTGCTACTTTCAAAGCTAACTACAAAATCTTGGGATGAACAAAGTTTGAGTAATATAAAAATGCAATATTATTTGCAATATAAGGAACAAATTTGGTAGCCAAATTTCTTCAGATGAAACTGCTCCAGGGAATACCACATGGTTTAAAATTAGGAAGGGTGTGCATCAGGGTTGTATCCTTTCACCATACTTATTCAAACTGTATGCTGAGCAAATCATCTGAGAAGATGGACTACATGAAGAAGAATGTGGCATCAGGATTGGAGGAAGACTCATTAACAACCTGCAATATGCAGATGACACGACCTTGTTTGCTGAAAGTGAAGATGACTTAAAGTGCTTACTGGTGAAGACTAAAGTCTACAGCCTTCAGTATGGATTACACTTCATCATAAGGTAAACAAAAATTCTCACAACTGGACCAATAAGCAACATCATGATAAATGGAGAAAATATTGAAGTTGTGAAGGACTTCATTTTACTTGGATCAGCAATCAATGTCCATGAAAACAGTAGTCAGGAAACCAAACAGGGCATTGCATTGGGC